AAATTGTCATTATACGAACTAGAACAAACAGCTCTATATTGCTTTGATATTTATCAATTTTCAGGAAACATGTGAAATAAATTTCAGGTCCATTTCATTATAGTGCCTAACAAGATTGTGTGAGGTAGACGAAATTGACCTTAAAACGATCGTATTGTCTTTTGATGTCAAAATATAGGCAGATCGGACATATAAGGACTTTATCTAATGACTACATAAATTTGGGATTTATTATTATTATAATATTCAAATGAAACTGAAAATTGTATTTTTTTTTAGGATAAACAACAATTTTACCTGGCGTAGCCGTTCATAAATGTTTTTCTGCATTTATCTTCGAAAAATGGCGTATTTAATGGAATAGAACGTTAATACAGTAAACTTTCTCTTTTTTCTCCGCAATAGGCTATCAAAAATAATTTATCTAATGTGTATGTGGAAAATTATGTGAAAAGATAAAAAGTGGCAATTGTTACCTTTCATACTTTAAGTTTCGTTCATCTGATTCTGACCAATGCTTATATACTAAATATTTATTTATATGCCGCTATTATTGTTGTTGTTACCAATTATGTAAATCAATTGTATCTGATTTTATGCCCTTTATGGGCCCTGTAATTTGGGAAATAAAAAAAAAATCTATTCATTGATAAAACGTAATATGGACTGGTCCAGTGTCCAGTTTGCAGGTCATTTAATTTTCTGTACACATTCATGCACGCTCTGATTTAATCAATATACTCGTACGAAAAAGCATGAACAGTTTGAAGGTAATCTAATAATAACTTAATCCAATCAAATTGCATAAGATTCAATAACAATGTCAAGTCCACATCATAATGAGTAATAGAGGTAAACTGGGTAGGGAGAAAATGACAGATATTTCAAGTTAATATTTATGCAATAACGAATTAAAATTTGTCAACCAAAAGTTTTGCTACAATTTCAAAAACATGTCGTTCTGTATGGGTATAGTTTTCGGATCTTTCATTAGCGTATTTAAGGCTATAAAAAGTTTGGGCTTCAAAAGTTCACACAATTATTGACTTTATACAGAAAATTCGTCCTTGTAAAACATTTAATAGTTCACAAATGATACGCGATTTTAAAGTAAAATTATTTCTTAAAACACTGCAAAAAATTTCATTCATATTGATAAAGTGGTATCGTCATAAAGTGCGTTGAAACGAACAGTGGTATAGCAAACATCGAATTCCCGCACAAAATGTTATCACACACTACAGTAAGGGGAGTCAGTTAAGTTTGTCTATTTTTAGATACTATACAGGTAATCTTTTGACGCTACGTACCTGTGTAGTGATTTTGATTTTACGATAAATTCATGAATGAACGATAATTTTATGAATGAACATGAGCACCTGACCTCTTTCTTAAACACCTATTAAACATATAAAACCGTATTTTTAAAATAAGGAGATAATTCAGTCAAATTTTCAGTACTAAATCAACAACTGAAATGATTCCATTTTTTGATGAAACATCGTACGAACGGAGAACGGAATCGCAGGTATAAAAATGCACTTTTTTCCCTTGTAATGACCGCGGATCTATAATTTTTATAGATCGGTTGAAATCCCAAAACTAATTTGCATAATGGAAATTTAGGCGATAGCAATACATCGGAGTGACCTCAAGGTCATCCTCTGTAAAAATAAAATAAAATCATAAACAGTTATAGGCGAATAATTTATTTCCTCAACAAAACAAAATCACTAATCTCTTAAAAAAAGACCAACAGAAATAAAAAGTCAACCAATGATTTTATGTTTAATTATTAAAAATATACGTTTTTCATTCTAGCATTTATATTGTAAATTTTTTGTAATTAAAATGTATCATCCACATGAAGGGGCGTAACTCCTAATATCATTCTGACACACTAAACGGATCTTAACCCGATCTGAAAATTTTGAACATTACTTTTTATGTTTGGTCTGAATTCGTCTAAAACCGTCTTAACATATCTTGTTTAACAGCTAGAGCCTTCTGTCTTGTTTATCTTGACATGAATGAACGGACTGAACACGACATATCGGAACAGCGTCTGAAAGTCTTAAAAAGTCTTAACGTTTTTCCCTAGCGGTAAATTCAGTCGATTCAGACTTGATCAGACCAAAATGACCGTTTCAGACTGAAATATTGCTACTAGTGTTAGAAACAACTATGTTAAGTTTCATGGAATTGAGATAAGTCGTTCTCAAGTTACGGTGCGACATGTTTACGCCGGACAGACAGACAGACGGACAGACGGACAGACGGACAGACGACATTTGTATACTATAATACGTCCCGTCAAAATTTTGACGGGCGTATAAAAACAAATATGACACACATGAAACAACGACAAACATTGAACTACAGGTTCCTGACTTGGGGCAGGCATTTAAAGAAAGTGCACGCGGCGGAGTTTAACATGTATGTAAGCGCTAATCCCTATCCTAACCTAGTGTATCATAGCACAGCATAAGAAGAAAATGTAAAGACAGTTTTGATTGGCTCAACTAAATAAATCAGTATGACTGGGTAACATAAATCCATCAGCGTGATCTCGGGTGCTTTGGAAGGGTAAGCGGATTCTGCTTAACTTGTGGCACCCGTCGTGTTATTCGTGAAAGTACAAACCCAGTGATTTGTTTTTTTTGGTGGTTTAAGGAAAAGATGACGGGATAATGTTACGACAACTGGAACCTATTCGTCGTCACCTTTGAAACAGATATTTCAAAAAGTTTTTTTTTCAATTGGTGCGTGGTATATCAGAAACTGCAATTAATAAAAAAAAGTTTAATATTCATATGTTCAAATGCACATACACGCTACAAAAACCTGGATAATTCTTAGTTTATAGAATTGTTGCTTTGTTGCTTAGCATGTGCTTGAGAGTTGTCTCATTGGCAATCATACGACATTTTTTTTAATTTTTATTTCTATGTAAGGCTTTTTTTGGCATTGAATATTACCGAATTAAACTTTTTTGACATGATAAATTTGTAAACCTCCATGAATTGTTATAAAACTTGTATAGGAGTTATTCTTCAGGACCAAGATAAAGCAGTGTTCCTTGGAATCATTTGCGAATTTATTATAATACTGCTTCCATTTGAGAACTAAGGAAAAACCGGCGAGTGGTTTTGGGATATCCCCCTTATGTCCGAATTACTGTAAATGTTTTAGTACTTTTTTTCTTAATTTTGTCTGTCGTTCCCCGTTTTCTTACCAAATAACTATGAACAACAATTTGAACTTTAATTTGAACTTTAACTTAATGAATAGCGGTACTCATCCAAAGCGCATTACACAAACGACATATGGAAATCGGTCTAAAAATAGAACATATTATTTTCCAAAATGGTCACGTGGTTTTACTTCGTAGTAGTAATAGGATAACCACATCAAAGAATGACATGACCAAATCAAACACTGAAACAAACACATCATGTAGTGTAAAATCGTCAAATTTTGAAACATCATTACGTAATGTTAAAGCCATATAAAGAATTGACAAATCATTATTACGAAATAACAAAACCACGTCATGTAATGAAACAACTACATAACGTTATGTCACATACACATCAAGTAATGTTAAAACCACATTGCCTAATGACATAACCACATCAAATAATGGTGAAACCACATCGAGTAATGACAGAACCATATTAAGTAATGACAAAACTATATCAAGTTAATACGAAACCATATCATGTAATATCGAAATATCATTATGTAATTACTATTCCATATTGAGTTATATCAAAACATTATTACGTAATGTAAAAACCATATTATGTAAAGACAAACTAATGTAATAATAGAACAACATAACGTAATATCAGAGTTACACATAAGACAGCTGTGGCGTTCCATATTATATTCCTAATACTAATGACTCAATTACAGACAAAATACGTATTTTCAACATTTCAATGAGAGTGCAATGATCACAGCATGCGGTTACACCAGAAAACACATTTTGATAATCTTTGGAAAGCGTTCTGCATTAGCCTTTAGTTTTTGACAAATGGCCCATTTATAAAGCTTTATGTACCTATTCAATGACAGAATTACACACATTTATTTAGATGATATAAAATATATTCTGTGCCAAATAGAGAGGGTTTTCTGAGTGCCTTTTATACTCGCTTTCTTAAACACCCGTCTGGTGTACAAAATTTCAATCCTGGTTTTATTGAGGAGTTTTACGAGAAAAGTGAAAGGTGTCTGTTTTTTAAGTCAAAATTTTCAGACATGAAAAAAAACGCATATACACATGTCAGACTAATTAAATCAATGTCATGACCTCACTCGTATCATTTATCATAGTATCCCTTTCTAAAATCAACGCTTTCTAAATATGTCGTCTAAAAAGGTCGTCTTCGTAAGGCATTCAACCATGAGCCACACCTATACCACTTAACTATGAATAACAGGTAAACAGCGACATTTAATAACTTTCAGTCTCATCCTGATTTAGGACAGAAACATACAAAAAAAAAGCCGACATGTCATTTCTTACATCTTTCTATTTTTGGTTAAACAACGACTCTAAGAAACAAAACATTAGTTTTTAATTTATTTAAATCTTCTAACCATGTATTGAAAATCCAAATCGACCCTGAAAGTTTAACTAAACACATTTTGTGTTTGGTTTTCTTTAAGCTAAGACGTAGCTGCAAAGGAACGAAATAACCACTGGTCGTACGGACATAAAAGCATCATAAACATAATCTTAGTTCCCTGCACCGCCTTTCTTTGATTCAGTAGCAACCAATGAAGCAACGCAATGCCATCATAACAAATATTACGAATATTTAATCCAACTAATGACAACTCCCAAACCATTATTTCAGATAAGAATACTCAATCAGAAAATGGGTTACAGTATGACAGTCATATTTCTTTTTAAATTACAATCCTATATACCTCTTCTTATATTTTTTAAAAGGTTTATCTAATTTTATTCTGTTATGTTTTTTACATACCTTTAAAATAAAGAACAGTTATCCATAACAATATTTTGGAAAAATGTGTAACCATTTTCACGCTTTTTATAAGCTTCTATCTTGTATTGGAAAATTATAAACTCGTTGTTTGTCGTTAAAGGTTGACCTATATAATTTTAAAAAGACAGCCAATTTGTATTTTAAATTTATGGGATTTCGAGTCACTTCCTTCAAAAAGCTAGAAATATGTTTTTTTCTTTTATATTTAAATAAAATATTTATTGTTGTGATGGTGAGTTAAAGTTAGAACTGCTTTTCATTTTAATATTGTGATCTTGCTTGAATTTAAAGATGACATTTTTTATCATTTCCTCATGCAATTCATTTAATACATTCATAAAGTTGAATGACTTAAAAAGATAGGGAAAAAAAATGACAATTAAATCTTTGGCTAGCACAATATCAATGAAAATTATAGAAAAGTTTTAACAAAGCATAACATTTATAAAACAAGTTGTTTACTTTTTTCCAAAAAGCAATCGTGAACACAAATTTGTTTTGGTTGAAAATTGAAAAGGTGTTTATATTTACATTATATTAAGCTGTAAAGATACAAATGTTATTGCACTAATTTGAAAACTATGTAAACGCTATCTAATTTTTATAGAAAAAAAGAAAAAAAGCTTTTTACTAAATGCAGACCTCATTTTGGCAAGATGCCGTCACTGAAGCTTACGCCATATTAAATATATGTTTGCATTTTAAAGTGTAAATCTAGAATTTTCTCTTAGTCGCAAAGTCTGAATGGTGTAAACAGTCGTTAGGAAGGAAAGTTTGGTAAATATATCTACTATATGATGATTATTGATGTATTGTCACATGATGTTGCAAAGACCATGTGGTTTGATTTCATTTAATATCACCAGCCCAGTAGTCAACACTTCTGTGTTGACATGAATTATCATTGATATTGTCATAATTATAAATTAACTGTTCGTGTAACTCTGAGTTTTCGAAATACTATATTTCTGCCCCAGAATAGATTAATTTCATCCAATCTGAAATGTATACGATTTTAATAAATGTTATAATAAATGTTTTTGTTAGAACAAGAATTAGCTTACTTCTCAAGAACCAAGTATTATTTGAGTTTTATATGGACAAAAAACGTTAAAAATATTTTGAGAAATAATCGCATAACTTCGTTTAAGGAGTCATTACATGATTATTGATTAATTGTCTTTAGATCATAGCTGACAATATTTGACTTTTTTTAACTATCTTATTACAATGATACCATGTAAACCAACAACTCTGACTAGGTTAAATTGAAAGTTTTGACATTTTGAAAGGATAGTTCGCAATCTTGTTCTTTTGATCCCCAATTGTACCATTATTTTGTTTTTCATTTTATGGACAAAATGTCACTTTGATAGTTTTTATATTCTACATGTTGAAGCCTATTAAAACAGCAAAAAATACTAAATCTTGAAATACTTTACAATGAAGTATGTGTCTCTGTTGTTAAACCCTATATTGAACACTCACAATGTCATTCCTTATTTACACAATGGCGGATAACATTTTGCTTTTGCCTACCAATCTTTTTTTCATTTTGCTTATAATGTGAATGTGCTTAGTTCAATGGGAATAAATATTTTAACCATTGTATACTTCTATAAGATAATATGACCAAATAATTCCTCGATTTTTGGCATATTGGGTAACATTCCTACAACAGATACATAATATATACAAAGACACCTAGTTTAATGGGATTTGAAAATTTCCTTTCCTGGATATTGTCTGAGAAGTATTAAAAGACATAGCGGGCTTAGCGAAAACATTTACAACAGTGTGGTTTTGCGTTATAGATTATAGGTGTTGACGTTGAGTACCATTTTTTCTGTTGTAAGCTTTGTCAGATTTATTGTATGTTTGTTTGAATTTCTTAAGTCAGTTATTTGTGTATGTATGTAGTTTAAACATATTTTATTGTTCAAAATGACAAATGGATCAGACACAAATTTTATCATACCTCCTTTTGCATAAGTGTTGATACTTTTTGGTTAAATTTGTTTTGCGGACTCGTATAGAATTACATTGTAAAATGAATAGAAATCATAAACAATAAGCAAGTGCCAAAACAAGTTTCAAGCTCTTAATACTTCCGATTCTACCAAAGCAGCAAATAAACTTATTAGAAACTTCTATGAGCTACCATAAACATCGAAGTCTTCAAACCATATCCCTCTTCCATTAAACAATAACTAAAAAACAAACAAACAAACAAACAAACAAACACATTTATCATACAAAGCAACACAACACTAAGACATGAAACAACTTGTTTTCCTTTTATACTGTTCAGCTTATATTAACAAAAGTTTTCTTCTCTGTCAGTCTTTCTTATTCAATTTTGTTCTACAACGACAAGAAATAAGAACAAAATTTATTATTATATTCAAACATTGACTAGCTTAAGGAAAAAAATAATCAGTCTTTATTTTACACCAATGCCATTTTTGAAAATTATTTAGTCTTTACTTGCATTTACAGATAAGAAAACCTTTTATTGTGTACGTAAAGTTTCAAAAATGATTAATAAGGACATTCTAAATCAAGACCAACAATCTGTCAAATTAAACTGATGAACGATGTGTTTTGGTGCAAACGTTTTGACATTTGTACAATAAAGTTTAGCTGTGGTCTAGTCTGTACTTTGTTTTCAGAAATAAATGTACACGAATAGATGCCTTCTTCCCTTTTATGGGAACGAACTGTGCTCCTCTCCTTGCCGACCTCTTCTAATTTTCATATGAGTCGGAGTTCTTTCAGACACTTGTCAAAAACAAGAAGCCAGATCACTTAATTTCACATTCATATTCCTGACTCGGGACAGGCGAAAAAATGCGGCGGGGTTAAATATGTTTTGTGAGATCTCAACCCCCCCCCTATACCTCTAGCCAACGTAGAATAAAGAAACACACAGCAATACGCACAGTAAAACTCCTTTTAAAAGGAGTTCGAGACCGATGTCAGAATAGGTAACAAAAGAAACTAAAGAAAATGACAAAGATACATAAATAAACAAATAAACAAAGGCGATTTTAATTTTGAAATTATCAATTTCCCCCCACCTTAGTTACAATATACCATTTCCTCCGGCATATGGGATACACAAAACTCATGCGGTATACAAGAGCTTTCTGCTACTACTCAGATTTTATAAAACGTCACTAGTGTTTGGGAAGAAAGTTGATGAACCAGGGTTATGTCAAAGAACGTCTCGTCTATTTTCTCAAATGTTCATAGGAAGATACCAAAACATTGTTGATAAATATTCCGTACCAACTTCACAAATAATACATGATGGTCTTGAAGAATAGATTCTACGTACTGACGTTGTTTATCATCTTAATTATGTGTTATAGTGTCCTTTTATTTTTCTTTGTAAAATATTACCTTTACTGTTTAGTCCATTTTTGGTAATATACTTTTGACGTGACTCGGCCCGTCATTGTGTTATTGTGCTATAGTCAATTTTTGTTTTCTTGTCTTTCATTTTTGGTAATGCGTTTTGTCTACATGCTATTTTGATTTCCTTTGTTGACATATTTGTATGTTTTATAGTGATTAAGGTTATAACACAATGTTGATTGCTGTATCCCTATTTTTTTTATACATCCAACAGCAGTATACTACTGTTGCCTTTATTTACCTTTTATGTCTCTTTATTTTGTTCAAACATTGTTGTAAATATAATGGAATTTTATGCAACTGTCATACAAGTGAGAGGTTTATCTAGCAATAAAAACAAGTTTAATCCACTATTTTCTACATAAGGAAATACCAGTACCAAGTCAAGAATATGACAGTTTTCATTGGAGTTCGACACTATTTAAACTTACACTGTTGGTCGATATTATTTATGGGTGACATCTTTATATTCCTGCGATTATCTCTTATTTCGGTTGTATCATTACAATCGCATAATTCCTTTAACACGATAATCAACCCAATGAGGGCAAAGTAACAGACTGTTATTATTACTACATATATGACATATGTCCAAACGCTGCAAAGAAAATTTTATAAATGTAAACATGAAAAGGATTCAGCCAAACAAACTATGATATCTGTAACAAATATTAATTAATATTACGGATTACAAATGTGTCGAGTTTTGTGATCGGATAACAACACAGAGAAGTCAATATATATTCAGGAAATTGCCGGGGTAAATACGACGTTTTTATCCCCAATTTGAACCTCAAAGACGTCATCATTACACCAGTTACTATGTGACGTAGTCAAAAGCTTTACAGCTCACTAAAGAATGCTCGCAGAGGGAAAATAATGACACAGATCCGTCAATAATACATTTTAATACAAAACCACGCATACTTAGATTTAATGTTTTAAATTGTTATTATAAATCATTACATACACGATAAAATTATTTTCACAGCAAATTACAAAATCCTTCACGTATGCTGAACATATCAGGTTGGGTTTTTCAATATATAATGTGTTGAAAAATATCAGTCACACAAACACCCAAACACAAAACATGAAATCCAAAAACTAAATTGAAAACATTTTCTTAACGGAAAAAAAATTGTCAATATAAAAAAGGTGCATTTTAATAGATTTCTCAAAATATTAAGAAACAATAAACATGTAATGAATACATATATATGCTTGATTGTGAATTTTTAACAGATACCTGCACGGGAAAAAATTAAGACAGGGGTAATCCGTAATATATGTGTAATTCAGGTCTCAGACAGGGTATATACTGTGTCATTCCCGGCTTAGATATAAACTCTAAGCCGAGAATGTCACAGTATATACCCTGTCTGAGACCTGAATAACATATTTTATTGTACTGTTGTCCGTCTACTCCCTGCCTGTATCACTTTGCTCAGACGACGCGTTTGATATGCTTTACAAGAAGGTGCAATTATATTTACTCGTGGTTCGAAAGTAAAGCGGGAAAATATATACAAATTTAAAAAAAAAAACTTAACTTCGCTGCTTGGCACATGGTTAAAGGGTTTTCAGCAACATCCAAGATAGAAAGAAGACCGAGTCGTTGTTAGCCAAAATTGATAAGAACATGACAGATACCTTTAAGTTTTAAATGAGGGGCAATAAAGAAATACGATATAAAGACATTATGAAGGTCTTCGTGAAAGCTCTGGAAACAAACAACCAGTTGGAATTAGAAAATATGACCAACGATACCATCCAGACGGCAAAAAATGATGTCGGAAGGTGTATGGAACTGATAAAGTAGACACAAAAGTTTATTAAGTTAGCTGATTCTCCAGATGCATGATAGAGGGTTGTCGACGAATAAACCATCTAGTGTTGTAGAACACAATCTAAATCCATTAGTGGAGGATTCTGCAGGGATGCAAACAGTTTTAATTCTGTCAGACATTGGGGCCTACAGGGTAGCAAGTTTTGCCAGACCAATCAAATTTTTGCCAGACCTTCACTTTTTTATATTGGCTTTTTATACAGTAAGATAACCAAGATAGGATGTCTTTACAGTGACATCTTCTTTAGTGGATTGTTTTTAGAAAATATCTTAAATTCAATTGAATTCTATCATTTAATAATCACTACAATATATTTTTAATCTTTTTATTGTGTACCACTGAATTGCAGGCAAGGGTCATTTTCCAATTTTTGCGACAGTGCTGTAAGATTTTTAATTAATTACAACTTTCTCAGGAAAATGAGGACTGAATAGTCAACTTAGTTATTTCCCTCGATAAATTTCCCAGTTACAACTCTCATCACAGGGATACAAGTACTTACAAAAAGTAATCGAATTGATATAAACGTGCAGCTTGTTTCCAGATCCTACTTTTGTTATCCTTGTGTATCTTTATATATTTGTAAATTTCATGAATAAATATGTTTAAACTACAAAAAACATCATTTGAAAATATTATAATTTTATCATTATGTTGGTACACAACATTTTGTTTTAATGGGAGACTACTTACCATATAATAAAATGTCACATTTTAAGTGTTCAGAAACATTAACTTTTATTTTGGTGGATAATTACTCGTCAATTGAGGTGCTCCATTAATTGGAGGAAGATTGGCAATACAGTTACAGTTACAGAAAGAAAGAAACTGCCGTTTCTCTCCCCAATCTCATGTATCCCCATTGTTAACCGCGAAAGTTGACCTACAAAGCATTGATGTTTGAATCATCTACAGCAAACACAGACTAACTTTGATAAATAAATTTTCCACAAGGCAAATTTTACTTCCCCACTAATAGGTTAGCACCTAAAATGCTATATCTTACTAAAATCCTACAGCACTGACTGCCGGTCACTAGGTCTTGCACAAAAGCCCAAATTCCCGGACCTGCTCAATAAGCTGCATCGCTGATTCTTATTAAAAAAACTCAGGATTTTCTTACCCCAGGCATAGATTACCTTAGCCGTATTTGGTATAACTTTTTTTGGGAATTTTTGATCCTCAATGCTCTTCAACTTTGTATTTGTTTGGTTTTCTAACTATTTTTATCTGAGCGTCACTGGTGAGTCTTATGTAGACGAAACGCGTGTCTGGCATAACAAATCACCTTTGATAACTATCTGAAGATAAAAAGATAGATAAAAGGCAATGAGTAGAACCGATTCCAAGTTAAACATGTTAAAGAAAGAAACGCTCAACGCAACACCAATTCACGGCCAACACCTTACAAGACAAAACAACTGGCTCCAGAGAATCCGATTCCAGTTAATTCGAATACGATGTTTCGCCCATGAAGATGTTTCTAGTCATTGGAAGAAAGAGTCTCCACATGCTACGGTAGATAATAAAACCAGATAAGTACTAACATATATTTATGTATCATAAGTAGTAGTTCGAGCCCGCCTTTGTATACAAAACACCACAATCCATAGCAATACACGTGTTGTCAATATAATGGAATTTGATGCGACTGTCATACAAGTGAGAGGTTTAGCTAGCTATAAAACCAGGTTTAATCCACCATTTTCTACATAGGAAAATGACTGTACCAAGTCAGGAATATGACAGTTGTTATCCATTCGTTTAATGTGTTTGAGATTTTGATTTTGCCATTTGATTAGGGACTTTCCGTTTTGAATTTTCTTCGGATTTAAGTATTTTTGTGATTTTACTCTTTACACTACGATCGAAAGTAATCGTGTTCACTCAGGTATCACGAATTGGACAAGGATAGGTTCAAAAGGTACAAATCGAGTATGTGATTCCTTTTTAAACTATTTTAGAGAGAAACGTAAAAGAAAATAACAAGTCGACAAGTTACATTAAGATTATTTTTTCGGAAAAAGGGTGCATAAGCAGAGTAAACGAAGAACCACATGTTAGAAACCCTCTTACAGTAGCAAATAAGGGGTCAGAACTAAAATTGGTAGTAAACGCCAGACATATAAGGCCACATTTGTTAAAATTCCGGTAACACATAGGAAGACGGCGTTACAGAAAGACAAATGTTTAACAGACAATAATCCATTTTTTCATATGATTTGAAAACTGAATACCATAATACATGTAGTAGAATTTCACATCCCGATACTACATAACTAGGTTTAAATAAGGGAATAAGTATTATGTTTACATTGTATTACCGTTTGGCTTGGCAACAAGTGGTTATGTTTTCAGTAAAGTAGTAAAAGAAGCCAAAACACATTGGAGAAGTAAAGGGTGGAAAATAGTTATGTATTTATACTGTGGCATAGAGAGAGATTGGTTTTATTCAGAGGCAAGTGAAACAATCAGGATTGATTTAAAAAAAAATGATTTCGAAATAGCACATGAAATATGTAATTGGGCACCAGTACAAAAACAAGAGTGGTTGGGTTTTTGTTGGTATCTGGAAGACAGCAAACTGATAGTCATCGATAAAAGGTTGAACTTCTTGAGTAATCTGTTACAACAATTCAAAAAGGGTATGACATAATTCTAAGTAAGGTCACTTGGTAGTATTGTTGGACAGATCTTCTCAACACAAGCTGTTTCAGGGAATATTGCACGTTTAAGAACAAGATGTGGGTATGATTTCATACTTACAAGAGAATGCTAGAATTCCATTCCAATTTCCAGGAATTTTTCACGCCGGACATGCATTTCGTCTACATACGACTCATCAGTGGCGCTCGAATTAAAACAGTTGCAAGACTGAATCAAATAGGAATTGTCAAACAAACTTTTTTTTTTTTCAAATTGGTAATATTTAAGTATGTTCTTCACTTAGGTAACAAAAAAGCACAGTAACAAACTGTATGCTGAGCTAAGCTATTGGATGCAAATCTTAGATTCAACTATCAAAGTTCTACGAACTTTTTAGGATAAGCCAGAGTCGTAGTTTTATGAAAGTGTCCTAAGACAAGTCATATGTTTTGTATGAGGAGGTAAATTTATTCACGATTTAAGACAAGCTTAAGTTCATTATCAGAAATCCAATGAGAATATCATATTCGACGTAAATATCAAATAGCGAAGAAATTGGAGAGCTTTAAACTGTTTAAATAATTCACTACCCATTTCGAAAATGGCAATCGTCGAATAAATATTGAAACCAGGAATTAATTCAGTATAGCATGTTCGGTCACCTTTACGAATTGATTTTGGCTCATCATATTCAATGTTTTTATTTTTGAACTGGCATCTGTTGGAAAATTTGTACACCACACAAAGAGACAAGAAAATGGAAAAGGGCCACTGACAGATGAATTTTAAATTATTGTAATCAGTAAATTTATAGCAGACACCTGGCCCAGGATGCTACAGAAAATTACCGAACATTTGCCAATATCCGACGATTATAGTAAATAGAAAATTTCGAATTACGTAAGATGGAAGATAAGTAAGATGGAACATACAGATTAACGTAAAAAAGAAGATATTAGAATATGAGAATCTCGAACATTTAAGTTAGTGCTATTCGTTTCTCTGTCTTTTTTCTTATATTGATACAGACGATATATCACAAAGTTGTAACCGATCTTGTGTATACATCGGTGTCGAATAGAGGCATTAAAGTTAAAATTGTAAAGCACATAAATGGATACGGTAACACTCATGGTTTCAAATTTGAAACAGCGGACAGTTTATGATTTCAAAACTACAAATAATGCTTTCTTCATATATGCGATTTATAAAAATGAGTAATTATACACTTCATCCTGTTTATATGACACTAAGGCTTTCAGACTTTTTCTGAGATTTTTTATTGCTATTTTCAATTTTTTTCCCTCATGTTTTATCTTTTATCAGGTGACTATTCTTGGAAACATATTTAAAAACTAAACACCCTTACGATAACCGCTGTGTCAAAGTGTTGGTGCAGTTGGTTTTCGAAAAAAAAAGAGATTAAAATGTTATAGACGAAAGGCGAAAGGAACAAGGTGATAAGGAAAGTTTCAGAAAAATTAAGTAGTCAGAATGATTAAAATATTCTAGATCTTGTGGCATATTTCATAAACATTGATGGGTCAAAAGCGATTAACATGTATTTAAACTGATTAATTTCTGATTATGTAAATTACCTTACCTTTTATCAGTAACCATCTTCTCTTTTTGTACCTTCTATCTTGTGTATCGTAAATTTATAAACGTAAAAGAAAAAAGATGTTTGTCGATATAGGTTGACCTAAAACAATGTAAAAAGACAACCAATTTATATTTAAATCAATGGAATTTCCAGTCAGTTCCTTCAAAATCTTAAATTCGTCATACTACAGTAAGAAATATGTTTTTTTCTTTAGGTGACAATAAAATACAAAGCAATTATGCATTGTTGAGCTGGTGAATAAAATATCTTAATTGCAGATATATTTCGTTCTATTGTTACTTTACGTTGTTGCTTTTTACCGAAGTATACAGTTCTAAAAAGCTCGATTATCATTTACAATTGTTATTAACAATCGAAGTAGGTTTTGTTTTAGTTTTGACTATCCCATTCAATAACTTAAAATTATCAACAAAAAACATATCAAACGATTTGAATACGAAAAGGTTACAAAACGGTATGTATAGCATGATAAATGGAAACATTTGTGGATGAATTAAACGATATATTTAACACCTTTACCAAATCCTCTAGTAGGAAGATAAAAAGGCAAATGAAATGAAAACATAGCATTTGTACATCAATTGAAGTGCGTCTTTTTGGTTCTAAAAAAATATGTTGTAGTACCGTATACTGTTTATTCAGAAATTAATGGGAATTTATAGGCAAATATTTCAAAATTTGAAGCGCTAAAGCTACAAGACTTTCAATTTTCCCGGTTAATATATTCCCGCTTTGTTCACTGAAATAAAATTGAGAAAGGAAATGGGGAATATGTCAAAGAGACAACAACCCGACCAAGGAACAGACAACAGCCGAAGGCCACCAATAGGTCTTCAACGCAGCGAGAAAATCCCGCCGGGGATAGTCCTCAGCTGGTCCCTAAATAAAATTGTGCACTAGTTCCGTTAAAATGGACGTCACACTCACTCCAAAACATATAAATGAACTAAAATTAAAAAAACATACAAGACTAATAAACACATTATCCCAATTATGTAAACCTTAAAATGAAGTTTATGTCGGGGTTAAAATTTATCCTCCTTTGTACATTTTTCTGATTTTGATAATTCGTTGCCTTTTTCTTGGCTAGAAAGTCTTCTTAACTTTTTGGGTTGGCTGCTGAAGACCTGTATTTAAATCACAGATAGAACCATATATACCAGAAATGTAAACTACTGAGCTTCCGGTATAAAAATATAAAACACAAATTATAATAGTCTGTCTACATAACATAGTTACGTAGTATCCAGTTTATGGTGCAATTCCAATGCTTTATGTTAAGTATTATCTTATTTGTGAGCGTCATTGTAACCAAAACATTAATCTATACTATTAAATTTGGAGACCAAATTTGTTTAGCCGGTTTGTCTAAGAGCCGACGATCGTCTGAAGTATTATATAATTATAATAGTTAGTGTATGTAATGTACTTTATAATTTCATATAGTAACTGCTTTAATTAGCGTAGCTTAATTAATTAAACCCTAAATAAAGTTCCGTAGCTGGTTCCTTACAGTCTTCGTTTTGTAAGCAGGCGGAAATGCTTGTTTTTCAATTTGTCTCGAATTTATGACAACTCGGCCCACGGCTAACTCGCCTCACTCAAACACTCTCACTAATTATTACAACTTGCATCACTTTATCAAACTCGCACCACTCAAAAAAAAAAGAAAGAAAAATGAATATAACAAACTCGAAAAAATGTGTTTAATCGTTAGATTGTTTTCTTCTTCTCTTAGTAAATTCCTCCTTTCTCGGAGCACCAATGTCACATAGAGACAGAACTCGCACCACTCGAAAAAAAAAAAATACCAGAAACTCGCACCACTGAAGAAATGTATCAAATCATCAGAGAGCACTGAGAAATATTTTAATCATCAGTGTTCTAGGTTGTCTTCTTCTTTTCTGGGTTATTTCCTCCGTTCTAGGAGCACCTGTGTAACAACGAGACAGAAACTACTAATTGGACATTCAAATTCCTATGGAAGAAGAACTTACAAAGGCTAATCAAAACTATCAACATAACGCATCAGTGCATGAAAACAGTTTGAGAAACACGAACCTTAGCTGTGTATTACCATAAATATTTCAAGTAGTCTTCAACCTGCGCTCATAAAAAAGATATATATATAACAAACTCGAAGAAATGTGTTTAATCATAAGATTGTTTTCTTCTTCTCTGAGTAAGTTCCTCTTTTCTCGGAGCACCCGTGTTACACAGAAACAGAACACACCACTAAAAAACATACTACAAACTCGCACCACTGACGAAATGTTTTAAATCATCAGAGAGTTTTAATTTGTCTTCTCTTAGTTATTTTCTCCGTTCTTGGAGCACCCGTACCACACAGAGACAGAACTTGACTCGCACCTTTTGAAAAAAAGAAATACTACAATCTAGCACCACTGAGAAATGTTTTAATCATCAGTGTTCTACTTTGTCTTTTTCTTCTTCTCTGAGTTATTTCCTCCTTTCTAGGAGCACATGTGTAACACCGAGACAGAAGCTACTAATTGGACATTCAAACTCCCATGGAAGAAGAACTGACAAACTAATCAAAACTATCAACATAATGCATCAGTGCATAAAACAGTTTGAGAAACACGAACCAAAGCTGTGTATCACTATAAACATTTCAAGTAGTCTTCAACCCGCGCTCTAGTATATGATAAAGTTCGAATCAATTAGTTCAAAGTAGGAACCTTTAGATCTGTAAGTATTGATGGAAACTCTGTGTTGGATATTCATTTTAGATCGTCATATTAACGAAGTTAAATAATGTGCAAACTCGGTCTTTGTCTGGCGTAAATATAAAATTTCAATCCTGGTATCTATGATGAGTTTATTTACAACAACTGGGTCGATGCCACTGCTGGTGGAGTTTTAATTCCCCGAGGGTATCACCATCCCAGTAGTCAACACTTCTGTGTTGACTTGAGTTATCATTGATATGTTCATAATTATAAATTAACTGTTAACAAAACTTTGAGTTTTTGATAACTAAGGCTTTTCTACCTCAGGAATAGATTACCTTAGCTGTATTTGGCAAAACTTTTAGGATTGGTCCTCAATGCTCTTCATCTTCGTACTTTATTTGGCTTTTTTTAACATTTTTTTATTCGAGCGTCACTGATGAGTCTGTTGTAGACGAAACGCGCGTCTGGCGTAAATATAAAATTTCAATCCTGGTATCTATGATGAGTTTATTCACTTACAAATTTAACAAAAGTCCTTCATGATATGTATAAATTTTGAGTGTTGGAAATTTAAACACAAAATTGAACCACTATAGTGACATTATAATGTCAGGAGCCTGTTGTTCAGTGGTTGTCGTTTGTTGGTGTGCTTCTTGTTTCTTGTCTTATATATGGATTAAACCGTTGGTGTTCCTGTTTGAATTTGATTTCGGTGTGAGACAAGGCTCCATGTAGAAGGCCGTACTTTGACCTTAAATTTTTATTTTTTTACTACATTGCGACTTGGATGGAACGTTGCCTTATAGCCACTCATACCACATCTTCTTTTTTTATTAGCCTATTTATCTATCGTGATTTCTTATTCTAGAATCAACGCTTCTTAAATCTGTCACTAAAAATGACTCATCAAATTAAATTCCTATGTTTTTATTGTGTGCTTTATTTTAGTAAGTTTTAATTGGCTTATTACTGATTTTTAATCACAAAGGGAATTTAATAGAAAAACATCATTTGACTCTCTTTTGTCGTCACTGGGAATTGAACATTGCTCCTTGATTTTTGTATTGTCAGTCACACCGACGAAACTTCACGGCTATTAATTGGTTGAAATTGAAATTTCTATTTAATATATATTTAAACACAAAATTGTAATTGCAGTAATTCCGAATACATTTATGGACCCATTACCCATGTTATAACAGGAGATCTTAACATCGTTCAAGACCGAGAGTTAAAATCATTCCTCAGTAAAGGACCTAAATATCGTCCCCCGTCAATTATTAATTGGAATGAGTGTCGTAATATCATCCACGACTCACTCCATACGTACTGTTTGAAATGGATAAAACGGGAAAAAGCTGACAAAAAATCTTTGGACTCTTTTTTTAATTCAGTAATGAACATAGTTGATATACGTATTCAACATTTTAAAGAACATTTTACTCTTAACAAAAACCACAATAAACCTATTTCTCGTATCAAACATAAACTAAAAGAACTAGCCAAGGAATTTGTTTTTGTCCCTGCCGATAAAGCTGCTAATAATATTATTATTGTTTGACGTAAATTTTACATTGAGGTTCTGAAAAAAGAAATCACAAATTCACCAACATTCCAACTGACTCCATTTTCAGAAAACGACATCTGTAACAAACATAAACTTTTAGCTACCGCTTTACAAGCAGAACCAAATACAATGAAAGTCCCAACTATGTTTTGGATTCCGAAGCTACACAAAACACCTTACAAATATAGATTCATTTCGTCTTCAAGCCATTGTTACACTACTAAATTGTCTATTCTTCTTACCAGTACACTTGGTACAATCAAAAACCTGATAATAAATTGTTCAAATAAGGCCTTCGAAAATAGTGGAATTAATTACTTTTGGAGTGTCAAGAACTCGTTGGAAGTACTTGATAAATTACATGCATATATTGGTGATTTTGAATCTGTTCAAAGTTTTGATTTTTCTACCCTATATACCACATTGCCTCACATTCTCATTAAGAAAAATTCACACACCTAATTAATTGGGCATTTAAAAAGTCAGAATGTGAATATATATGTTCAAACTCTTTTAGGTCATTTTTTAGTAGCAATAAACAAAAAAACTATGTCAATTGGACATGCTTTGATACTATATGTGCCCTTGAATTTTTACTAGATAACATTTTTGTTCGCTTTGGAGATTCCGTATATCGTCAGGTTATCGGAATTCCAATGGGGACTAACTGTGCACCACTTATTGCGGACCTTTTTTTGTATTGCTATGAGTTACAATTTATGACAAAAATCAGCAAAGACCCATCGAAACAACATCTGATACACAAATTTAATAATACTTTTAGATATTTGGATGATATTTTGGCTCTCAATAATGACGACTTCAGTATGTATACTAAAGAAATTTATCCTGTTGAACTTACTTTAAATAAAGCTAATACTAACAATGACCACTGCCCTTTCCTCGATCTTGATAGCTATATCATGAATGGAAAGCTTAATACTAAAATATATGATAAAAGAGATGATTTTTCATTTCCTATCGTTAATTATCCATTTTTAGATGGTGACGTTCCCTTGTAACCATCTTACGGTGTTTATATATCTCAACTTGTACGATTCGCTAGTGTATGTAACAATGTTTTAGATTTTAACGAGAGAAATTTATGTATTACTGAAAAATTATTACACCAGGGTTTTCGATATCACAAACTAGTCAAAACATTTACTAAATTTTATCATCGGTATAAGGACATCATTCGTAAATATAGCTCAACATGCAGACTTCTTATACGTTCAGGTATTTCACATCCAATTTTTTATGGAAATATTCTTTATAAAGCACAAAAATGTCAGTATTCACCTCTGAAGCTAACAAAACCTTTAAATAGACTTATTAAGAAGGGATATAGTTACGATACTGTTGTCATGTCATTAAAGATTGCATATTTTGGCGTTAATATTGATTCACTTATAGGGTCTTTGCATCGGCACTAAACACATGTATTTAAAAACCAGTTGTTGGCATGACACGGGTTATGTTCTTCTCATATATGTTATGATGGTATGATACTAAACCCCTAACGGGAAGGATTGTGCCTGAAATTCATATGATGAAGACATAATCTTTCAATCAGTTTAATTGAAGTCTGGAGCTGGCATGTCAGTTAACTGCTAGTAGTCTGTTGTTATTTATGTATTATTGTCATTTTGTTTATTTTCTTTGGTTACATCTTCTGACATCAGACTCGGACTTCTCTTGAACTGAATTTTAATATGCGTATTGTTATGCGTTTACTTTTCTACTTTGGCTAGAGGTATAGGGGGAGGGTTGAGATCTCATAAACATGTTTAACCCCGCCGCATTTTTGCGCCTGTCCCAAGTCAGGAGCCTCTAGCTTTTGTTAGTCTTGTATTATTTTTAATTTTAGTTTCTTGTGTACAATTTGGAGTTTAGTATGGCGTTCATTATCACTGAACTGGTATATATATTTGTTTAGGGGCCAGCTGAAGGTCGCCTCCGGGTGCGGGAATTTCTCGCTGCATTGAAAACCTGTTGGTGACCTTCTGCTGTTGTCTGTTCTATGGTCGGGTTGTTGTCTCTTTGACACATTCCCTATTTCCATTCTCAATTTTATTGTATATCAATACAATCGTTACTTGCCTTCTACGTGTTGTAAAGATTCAATTTGATTCCTTGTCTTTTTTACATTTTAGATTGGTTGAGATAAATGCTCAAAAGTTTTACGAGTATCGTCATGAAATTTTTTATAATAACTACTTATGCAATTGAATAAGAACCCGTGCATACTAGCTTTTAATAAATCGATCTAAATAAAACCATTTAGCGTTCACATTATCTTGAATCCTTACGATCTCGATTAGTCTAATCTGAACCACTGCGTTCACACTACATCATGTACATATCAAAATACAATCGATCTGACCTTATTATCGGTGAAATTGTTAAAACAGTATATAAATAGAAATGTCCAATCAAATTAATGTGTTGATACACATGCTTGCAAAAAAATAATTGACGAAGTTATTGTTTCATTGAATCACAAGTACAAATGTTGATACTGCTATTCGTATTGTTTTTGTTAATTTTCAGCTCTTTTATGTTGGTCATAATTGCATGTGTAATTTTGCCGTCATACATGCGCACACATTGTTTTCAATTTCAAGAAGAAAACACGGGAATATAAGTTGTTTTCAGAACTACAATATATCCATTCGTATTTCTACTTAAAGTCCTATTTTATCCAATTTCTCTAATTATTTAAATTGTTTTCATAACTAATTACTCAAATTATAAGTCATTTTTAATTTTGATATATTTCACAAAGTTGTATCAATATTTATTTTTCAGTTTGACAACTGTGCTCGGTTATACAACGAAACCAATAATGTATGTTATGTTACGTTTAGCGCCAAATATAGTATTAGTTTTCTTGAAAAGTTCAATATTTCGGCAAGTCAAATGTTTAAAGGTGATATAAGTCGGATCACTAACCATTATTAGATTTAGGTCAACATTTGGGCTAGTGGTTTACCCATAGATATCATTAGATTGTTAGATTCCGGTTGTGGCATTTGAAGTTCCTTTTACGTCTTACCTTGTAAACCCTTTGTCTGCAGTCACAAATAAATCTTACAAGAAGAGGTTTGTATTTTAAGTAAGATCTTTCAGTTTTAAACAAATCAGTTATCAACGAGAAAAAGGCTGTTCAATTTTTCAATCAATATGCTTATCTTTTTGTCCCCCGCGTAACGCGTTGCAAGGGACATGGAAATACCTAGCGTCCGTCTGTCCTATCTTTTTAGCGCTCTCACGGGTACAATTCTTGCCAGATTTTTATAAAACTTATACTATAGGTTGATATCAGCAATATCTCGGACAAGTTTTATAATGGTGGCCGATCGACTATTTTAAAAAGAGTTATGCCCCTTGGAAATATTAAATTTATTGAAAATTGCCTCGTTAGCGCTCTCACGGGTACAGTTCTTGTCAGATTTTTATAAAACTTATACTAAAGGTTAATATCAGCAATATTTCGGACAAGTTCTATAATGGTGGACGATCGACTTTTTTTAAAAGAGTTATGCCCCTTGGAAATATTAATTGTATGGAAAATGGCCTCGTTAGCGCTATCAAGGGTACAGTTATTGCCAGATTTTTATAAAACTTATACTATAGGTTAATATCAGCAATATCTCTATAATGGTGGACGATCGACTTTTTTAAAAGAGTTATGCCTTTGGAAATATAAAATAAGTGCAACGCAGGGGACATTGGATCTCTGTTCTTTTATTAATTTTGATTTAAAGTTTTGTTAGTACCATTAACATTTGGCCGTCGCAATAGAGACGTCGTGTGTTTTTTTAAGGAATCCCATGTATAACTGCTTTTCATTTTAGATTTTGATCTGGCTTTCAGCCTATAATTAAATGTTTGAGATATATGGAGCTCCAAAACAAAATTCAGTTGATATTGTCTTGTACTTGGATAGTGGTTTAGGATTAGCTTCAACTTTAGAATAATGTCCCAATGATTCTGATTTTGGATTCTAGAACTAAAAAATATATATAAGATTTTTGTTATTTTTTAAAAGCACTAATACGTCGCATAAATTTGAGTTTTATTTTTGTAGCTATCAGTTTGTCTCAAAAAGAAATCTAATAAAATGCATTTTAGCGTTCATAGAAGTAGTGTTTGTTTTTACATGGAACCCTTGCAGCTAGACAAAATCTGCGGCGCTTTTATCTAGCGAGTGTGTCAAAAAGTGCATTATAATTCGAATGACCATTCATGTACTAGACCCCCCATCCGATTGAAATCCTGCAACTACGGAAGCCTAGCACAAAGCACTCCGAATTCCACATTCTTCGGTTATTTTTTCAATGATTTTTTTTATCTCAATGTCCTTATTTTATACACAAACAAAAACTTCCTTCATTTTCTCCTAAATTTACGAACATTCTATATAATAAAAACATCTTAATTGGTAACTTATTCAAGAAGTCTTTGTTTTGTATTTGGCTTGGCTGTAGTATTTGCATCAACTTTTGACAACTTAATTCATTAGTCTTTGAAATTAGAAAATTCTCAACTCTTTGCTTTAAGTGTATTGTACTGCACCAATGTTGATGTCGATCTCTGTTACCGTTTTTTTTAATCTGTTCCAGTTTCTTGTGGAACTTTTGTTTTTAATATATGTACCTATTGGTTTTATATTTGGTAAATTTATGAATTATTTATTTGTTAATTTATTTTTGTTACCTTGTCAAAATATTTTGTTTAATCCATTTTCTGTTGTTTTACAAAATCAATGTTTAGCTTTCTTCTTTAATTTTGGCTTTTTGTTAAGTTTTTAAATTTTTACGATATTGTTTCTAAAATTACATTAAATACATTAAGGTACAAATACCTGTTAATTATATCATATGTCCAAAAAGGCGTAATCCTAGGTCGACCGTGCCGTAGTCAACATTCGTTAAACATCCCCGTAAAAGTAATAATAGTTTCCTGTTATGTTCACCTGTATTTTAATTTTTTATAATAAAAAGGTCGATTGCAGGTTAAATTGTTTTTGTACTCTTTCGTGTCAAAATTAAACCTTAATTTCCTCCTTTTTGTGAGAGAATCTGATAATTTAAACGAATATTTTAAAAGTTCTTTTTTTCTTTAGATTTTAAAAGTAAGTCGATATTGTGCCTAACACAATACACGTAATATTCGAAAACTAGATTACCAAGTACCTGTCAGTTTAAAATTCATAAACTTACATTAAGCTTGTAATTGGGATTCTCGAAGGTTAATAATTTTTTTTGTTATTCTAGAGATCATTTCAAAACAATTCCAATGCGTAAAATCTAAACCCACACTAATAATAAATCTTCTTTGGTTTGGTTTATAAATCAAAAAGTTTAAGTGGTGAAGATCTTTGGAGCAAAATAAGATTTTAGAGATTCAGTGATTATTGTTGTTTGAATTCCGATTCCAATCAATTTGATTCGACTGAGAGGTTTAGCTAGCTATAAAACCAGGTTTAATCCACCATTTCTACATAAGAAAATGCCTGTTCCAAGTCAGGAATATGACAGTTGTAATCCATTCGTTTGATGTGTTTGAGCTTTTGATTTTGCTATTTGATTAGGGACTTGTTTAGAGAGTAAGTGATTGTTGCGGTTTGAACTTTAATTCCCATTACTTTGCATGATCGCACGGAAATCGCTACCACATAGTCTCTCTTTGCTAAGAGTGTCAGTGATTGTTGCGGTTTGAACTCGAATTCCCATCACTTTGTATGATTGCACGGAAATCGCTATCACATAGTTTCTCTTTGTTTAGAAAGTCAATGATTGTTGCGGTTTGAACTCCAATTCCCATCACTGTTTATTATCATACGGAAATCATTTTCATTCTTTATTTTATTGCCACATGGTCAGTGCTGCTGCTGGTGAACAATGAGTCCTTAAGAGTACATTTGTCATGTTAAATATCTTTTGGGGGAACCCTTGGCTCATTGACAAAACAATGTGTAGAGATGTCTTTTAGGGTAAATATGTAATTTTCAACATATAATGCCGTCATAGAGGCATTCCCATAACAGTGTGGACAACCGTAATGATTAAGTTTTTAATAATACCGAATCATTTACCTTTAACTTGTTTGTTATCGGCTATCGACAACAATGATTTTACACTCACTCAGTCTGTCAGAGACCAACCAGTGGGGATTTAAATAATCGTTTGTTTCACATTTCGATACATAAAATTAAACATTCTTTCAACAAAATTTTAAAGGAATCTGTTTTAAACATTCTTTTTATCATCACACCCAACAGTTTCACTTGAAATAACAATAAATGTGCAGAGCTATAAATATCATTGAATTATAGAAAAATATATTAAATGTAAAACATGTCGATTTTTATTTTGTTCCATACATGTGAACACAAATGAAGAAAAGGTATACAGATGAATTCTTTTTTCGGCAGTGTGTTAAAATTTGTGTTGTATGTCATGCAGTTATAAACAATTGTAAACACATAGTATTCCATCATCCATTGCAACTCATTCAGTTGACTGGTCGGTCAATTGCCCAGTTTGTTATTCTAATCTGAGCATACAACTTATGCTTTATTAATTGTAGATACAAAATAAGAAAAAATGAGTTGTAGGTCACAGAGAAACACGCGTGTTCTCAATAAAGTACATAGTAGTCCATCATGCATTGCAACCCATTCAACGGATTGGTTAATTCTCTAAGTCAATAAATATTGCTTATTATGTAATTAAACAATTATATTAGCGGGAACGTTAGTGTGTCAATGAATGATACTTGTACCCGTCCTGGGTAAATGTATTGATGTTTCGGAGGGATACATGCTTTTTTAAGCGGTCCTCAATCATTCAGGAAAAAAAAGGTAAAAAAAACTAATACATATTAATTAAGAATGAGTGATAAAAAGAAATACAACACTGAGATTAAAAAATACTGTTCCTGTATGTTCATGAAAAACGAACTAATGCGCCTCCCCCCACCCCCCCTCCAAATTAAATCAGTAGAACGTTGGACCAACTAATTTGAATACTATTTTTTGAATAAATGTATTCAACAATCAATTATATTTAGATGTTTAATTTAAAGATTGAAAGATAAATATTTCATAAAGTAAATGCAAATTGTATTAAGCTAGGTCCAAATGCATGTAGCTTTTAACAGTCCTATATTAATAAGATAAAAGTTAAAAGATACGAAGAACCAGTGCAAAGTTAGAAAGTGACAATTGTAAAATCTCTTTTAAGTTTGAAAAAAGTTATTGCTAACACATTCATTACTACTTTCGAAGCTAGTGAAGTTTTTTTTAATGTTTAAAGAACGTGCGGTACGATAAATAATTTGACTATCGATTGTCGATGAAGAGTGTCAAAAATAATCAATGTTAATCAATTCGCCTGAAGTAGTTTTTTTCGAGTTACTTGTTTTTGGGCGTTGAGAAACCTTTGGTGACCCCGTACGTTTAAATGTCCCTTGTAAAAACAACGTATTAAGTAGGCGTAACAGACAAACAGTTACCTAATCTAATCCAGTCAATTAAAGAATTGAGCACGCCAACGAAAGATCTCGTCCACACTGTTATGAATTTGATTCTAGTTACATTAAAAATAATTTTCTATTCGTATTTCCTGATCATCTAACAAGAGATGTAACATGATTTTAAACGGATTAAAGACGTGTTTATTTTTTTAAATTTCAGGCGATAAATAACGAATCTTTTGGTACCTCTTCCTTTTGTATAAGCTTTTCGCTTTCATGTTCACTAATAGTTTTTTTGCATTCTTGAATAATAATAAATGAATTTGGAGTATACGTCATAAACATAAACATCTAGTGGTCAACATACGATAGTCGTTATGGATATTTGTTGATACATTTGATCAAAATCTAAATCTTTCCAAGTCTATCAAAGAAGTAAACAAATAGAGATTTTCACAATACTATCATCGACACTAGATCCCCTAAAGAAATAAAAACCAAGGCAATATCAAGACATGAAATGACGTTTTCCCTAAACTGTATTATATATACATCAAACAAACATTTTCTTCTTCTCTGTCTATCCTGTTTTCGTCAACTTTGTCCTAAAACGAAAATTAGAACTGTAGTTTTGACAAATAATGAGTGTTTTAAAAAAATGAATAATATGAACAATAATTATCAAAACACTATCAGATGTAAATCGATTAAAAAGTCTTTCCGTTAAAAATTTCATAAAAAGGCATAATTTACAACATTCTATCAAATTTTTTCGAACAACAAAATTTAGCACTAAATGATATTTTGATGATATGGATTTATATTAAATCATCAAGAGAATTCTTTTCATTACCAAGACTTTAAAATTTAAATCCCACTATTTTTCCGTTTTTTTTACTCATACCAAAGGTTTACTGATGAAAATGAATGTAATCACCACACCAGACTATGCTTCATATATATATATATAATTACTAGGGGTGTCAACAAGTACTCGAGTATTCGAGTATCGCTCGGTAGTACCGAGTATCGTAAGTTTTTTGAAAAATTATGTCTCAAAGATGAAGTGCTAACCTATATTGATGTAGAACGAATTTTAACAAAAAAATGGTCACGTGATTAAGGCGCTTTATGAAAAAACAGATACTAGTGGAGTTCATATCACAATATAAGGGGCTCAAACATTTCGAGTCAAACTACGTGAATTTCTTCACCCTAAGCTGTCACAAATCAGCACACCCCTCGTCCTGGTGACACCAAGCGCAAACTTAGTGACATATCGCTGACGCCAATGTCTGCAGAGAAAGAGAGTAAACAAAGCAAACAAGGTTCTCTAGATGAATCTGAGTGATACATGTAAACCGAAACTAGTATCTTATTTATTACTTTATATGTAAAACTATAGAAAAAATAATCCAAAAATGTTATTTGTACATATGTTTTATTTTTCTGAATTGCAGTTTTTGAATTATTATTACAGATTATTTTTTCAATCTATTGCACTTGAAACTGAATCGATGTATTTGTATTGTTATATTTTTGGATAGACAATTTGAAATGTGTTCACTAATAGTGTATTATTATAATACATTGGTCAATGACTCGTAAAATTGAAAGTAAACATAAAAAGGCATAGCGGTGTTAAAATGTAAATCAAATCGTGTACTTTAAAAAAAACTACTAAAGAATGTCGATCCAAATTATAACTTTGAATGTAAACGGCTTAGGTGATAAAAAGAAACGACATTTAGTTTTTAATTGGTAAGCTTACAAAAAATATGATTTAATTTGTCTACAAGAAACATATTGCACAATAAATGATATAATACAGTGGCAAAATGAATATAAGATAAATGGGGGCTATAAAAGTGCCTAGAATTGCGGAACCAGTGATTCTCGTGGTGTCTCTATTTTACAAACCAAATTCAAGATTAGTGGGATGTCACAAAATCACAAATAAAAAAGTTAACAATGGAAGTAAGTAAAACCTTAAACAAAAATACCCATTAGAAGCTATATTATTAACCTTGAATCAAAATTAGAAAAATTCAAATTAAATAGTATCACGTCTGGGGAGGTTGAAAATAAGATATCAGAAATAGAATCACTAATTAAAAACTACAATGAGAACAAATCAGAGGCGTCAAAAATAAGGGCGCATGTTAAATAGGCGGAAGAAGGGGGAAAATCGTCAAGCTTCTTTTTCAATCTCGAAAAGCAAGAAGAAATACTTAAAATAAACAAGTTACATTTTACTCAAATTTATTTAGCTCCGAGGGATGGCATTTGGAAAGTGCTCAAGATTTAACAAGCCACATCGAAAATAAACTAAATGACGACGACAAAAAATTACTAGACCGTGATATTACCGCGGAGGAAATAATGAATTTTTAAAAATTATAAAAACAAATAAATCCCCAGGGTAGGACGGGATCATTTCTTAATTTTATATTATGTTTTGGAATATCATACAAGAAG